TGGATATTGGTGTCGACATTATGTGGACCTATACCGATGGATTAACAACAGTTACAATAATTGCAAATAATTTACAAGTTCAACAATGGATTGGTTTTGGTTTATCACTCGATGATAAAATGGTAAAACATTTGGTTAAACTATCTATCCCTCTTTGAACATTGTTGTTGTTTTTAAAGGGTGATGATCATGTATTTGTTTGCAAACATTTATCCAACAATACTATCGATATGAAACGTAAAATCAATCCAGGTGGCTATGTAATTCCACTGGATGCACCAACAAATTCAGGTGGAACATTTACAATTACATAAACAAAATTCGAAAATTCTATTGTTACATGTTAATTTATACTATCAAATTTTATTACTAATGAACAAGAAAATAATGGTCAATCGACAATTCCAACATTATCACAGACAGTTCAATATTATCCACTTATTGCAATAGGATACCTGGATAGTTCAAATAAGATATTAATAGAATGACATCTATGTCAAGTATCTTTATATTTTTCTTTTAAAGATTATATGGAAAAATATTCGACTAAACAAGTAGAAATTCAACTCCTATCATTAAACCGTCAAGAAAAAATTAGTTATAATTTTAATATTTCTGATAAAAATTCAAATTTATTAAAAGCTCATAGATGTATAATGATAATTACGTGGATAGTCATTGTTTCAACTGGAATTATAGTAGCACGTTACTCTAAAAATATCCCATTAATATCGAATACTAATAAAAATGTATGTGGTGAAACTATATGGTTTGCAGTACATCGTGGTTTGATGTTATCTGCAGCGCAAAATAGCGTAATAATCATAAGCAATTTTGAACGACAGAGTCCGTATCCGTATTCATATATATGAGTGAAGTGCAAGTACGTTTTACAATCGACGAAAAAAAATGAAAGTGTTTATAAAAGAAATATGAGACAACAGTTTTGTTCCTCAAGTTTTTCTGAGTGTCTGGTGTGAATTTTCCGACAATTCTTTGCACGGTGCCAGAGATATAAGCTTTGAAACTTTGGAGTAGTCACTGCTCATAGTCTTTTCAGAAAACATGATTTCTTATCGGTTAAAAGGACACATAGCATACACCATTCGACAGCTCTCACTGAGGTCTATCCATCTAAGTCACACACAGCTTTCTTAACGAAAAAAAACTGGCTCCAAAAACGAAAACGCACAATTACTTCGAGTTTTTGCTGAAATTCCGCTTAAAAACTGTAAAGCTATTCTAGACTCGTTACTTTCTACTTTTCGACTCTCTCGAAGCTTGAAATAATACTTCGAAATCTTCTCTCCTTTACTTCAGTCATTTTAATTTAAACATAGAAAAAGTTAACTGTTCAAACCCGAAACTGACCTTTTTTCTGTCGACGTTTTCGCTGTTCCTGGCTTCTTTTTCGTTTAAAGTCATTGTCGAAGTCCTTGTTCAATAATCTCTTAATTTTCGTCTTTTCGCGATAGCGTTTATCATATTTTCTTCGAATGAGCTTTGATGCTGAAGTCATTCTAATCTAAAAAGATTCTAAAAACTATCCAAAAACAAGACTTTTCGCGAGTGAAATCTCAGTTACTGCAAATTCTTGTTGGATCAAAGAGAAAACGGTTTTTTAATCGATATTTTTCCCTAACACAGTAGGGAATGGCCTGAGCGTGTTCAGTTTGATGGAAGGAATTGAATGGTATATAACGACAGTAGTTTTTTACCAAACTCAATCAACACCTGACCCGAAAAATCTCACGCTTCATATTTCGTTAAATTGTAATTTTCTCCTAAATTAAACGGAATTTTGCCTTAAAAATAATTCTGAACACAGGTCATGGTGTCTCCACTGTCGTGTAACAAGTTTGATCGAAATCGATTCGTCCATTTAGAAGTTAGAGAAAAAACAGTCATCAAAATCAAACGCTTCAAACTGAGTGAAAAAACAGCTATTTGAGTTTTTCCTTCTGCAAACTATTTACCTATGAAATGATTTTTACGCAGCTAGATGCAGCTCGTCGAGCTGCATCTTTTTTTAGTCGGACTTGTTTTGCAGAGCAGTGCTTAATTCAGCCTCTGAAAGATTTCAAAATCTCACGCTTCATCGTCTCCACAAAGCTTTTCCTCCCCCCAAAAGACCAGAATGTGATATTTAGAATACGCCAATAGTACGGCTCGATAGACAATTTAAAACTGTTGAAAATGTACATTTCAGTTTTTTGTCTACTTCTTCTGTTTCTAGAAAATTTTCCTTTTTCGAAGGATAAGTCATCAGGAAAACGGTTTTTTTGATATCACATGGCTCTATCTCAGTGTTCTGACGACATCTAGGGCTGAAATTTTTAGGGTTGCTTGAATAAGCCATTAGGAACGAAAGAGAAAATTTTTTTTTTAAGTTGCTTGAGATGAATAGAAGTTATAGCCCAAATGAAGAAAAAAGTTGATTGTAAAACGCACTTGCAATTCACTCATATATGTAAACATATAAATATGTTTATAAACGCTGGCGATTCTGGGATTTGGGTATTTTACTTGATACAGCGTCTGTATCCGTATTCACATATATCCGCCTGGAAATAAATGTTTTCAGTCGATTTTTTAAATTTATCAAAAATAGAGAAATATATTTTTCGAAAAGTAATTATGTATTCTGAAAGCACTCGGAATTATCTATCACTCTGTATATTTATGTCTTGACTTGCACTTATTTGCTGAAAAATATTTCGGATATAATGAAGGCACCCTCATAGTCAGATTTCCACAAACTGAATTTTTTATTCCTTTTTCAGTCGTTTTTTCAAATTATTATGAATATAGAAATAAATTTGTACAGAAGTAATATATATTCTAATAGCGAATAGTGCTTGAAATTCTCTGTGCCATCCTGTATTTCGCCGCCCTTAACTTGCAATTATTTGCTGACATCCAAGTATCACATTTCCATAGATTGCATTCCATGCTTCTTGAACTATTCTTCTATTTCTATAGACCACGAGAAAGTGCACATCCAGAAGTAGAAAAAGAACTGAGTTCTCACTTTTGCAACCCTTCTTTACGGAAATAATAGCAGAAGAAAATCAAGTGGAAAAAAGTGCCAGATTTTCAAAGTTTTCACTAATGTGAGTTTGTAGAGAATTGAATACTGTTTTCTGAATGTATTTTAGCAAAAGAACAAACCCCGACCAGTACCTGAAAATCACTAATTAAGTCGAATTAACTATGTTTCTAAAAATAGTGAAAACTGGTCGGTAAAGCATGAATTCGTAAGCGAAAAAATCTAGATACACTTGCTGGGATATCGCCCGATACTCCAGCAAAAGTATCTGGATGAAAGAGTAAAAAATATCGGGTTATCTAGATCCATCGGGTTTTACTCGATTACACGATGCAATATCCGATGCATCTAGTACGTCTAGCTGTTTAAAAAAAAGAATCGCTAGATATAAAAAGCGTTATAATTAGTTGTAAATCGAGGTGAAAAAAAAGGAAGGAAGAAACACAGCTCGTGCAGAGATTCGAACTCTGTATCTAGAAATCAGTAGTCTATTACTAGACTATACAGCGCTTAACTTATACTTTGAATTTCTTGTTTATATGTAACGAGAACGTGGATTTAGACATTCGTCTGATATCTTAATGGCTGACTTTGATTAAAACGGAGTTTCGAGACCACAGTTTTGCGTATTCTTTTTATACGCTTGTTTATCAGATATTTTTTCCTCTGATCTATTACAAAGGTCCATATGGGCTTTACTGTTGTCGCTGGGCGATCGGGGTGAAATTCTAGAATTCACGCATGTTCCTTATTGGACCTTTTGAACAATTCAGAAAAAATTGCTTCATCACTTTATCACGACACAGTGTGATGACTGATGATAAAACGCGCGATTATTCTATTAAAAGCTTTCAATAAGTTTCATCGAGTTGTAAAGAGTCACTCGGCAACGGAAGATACATTTCTCAGATCTAGAAAGAGGGCTCCTTATGAAACCTTATGGTCATTGCAGTACCATTCGAATGGAAATTAGTAAGTCGCCACAGTGACGGGTATTGGATCTATTCTTCAATTGTTTTGACAGGAACTTGATTGAAAATAGGTGGGATATGTAAGTTTGACACCCCTGATATGATCCAGAGACTTTGAACCAACTGAGCAGTACAGATCGCGATCAGAAAAGCTGGAAATTTTCCGTAAAGAAATTTGATCGGTTTTACTGAAAGACAGATCAAAGACTTTAGGCAGACAGACAGATCAAAGGCTTTAGGCTTATAAATCAAAGCTTTTGCAAGATATGAATTTTTTATGATTTAGACAGTTTTTAGTGAAAATTCACCATTGAAAACCTAAAAACTTGTTACCACCTTTTAAATACCTCTGTTCACGCTGCAGAAGCTCAGCGGCTCTTAGGGACCTATCATTATGATCCAACAACAAAAGAGCAATCAAAAGTTTGGGTGTCACAAATTGATCCGCGACCAACCAAAGTTCATCGATACAAAAGTTCAGGCAAGCGAATGGTGGCGATTTTCTTCATGAAATCCATGTTTAATCAAGTCCATACCATTAGAACGTAGTGAAACGGTAACAAAGAGATGGTATGTCGACAGCTGTCTACCACAAGTCTACGAAACAGTATCGGAATGGCGACAAAAGACTGGTCTTCGTGGTCTCATTTTGCATGATGATAACGCGAGGCCGCATAGAGCCGGAATTGTTAACGAATTTCTGGCCGAAAATCGTGTTGAACCATATAGAAATCCACCGTGTTCTCCAGATCTAAGTCCGTGTGACTTCTTTATGTTTGCAAAACTCAAAAATCAACTACGTGGAATTCGATTCGACGATGACAATGCAATGCTGAATGCGTTAGAACAAGCCATTGGCAGCCTCATAAAGGATGATTTCAAAAACTGTTTTGATGACTGGTTTATCCGAATGCACAAGTGCATTGATGCTGATGGACAGTACTTTGAAAAACTACATTAGAACTAGTCTTTGAATGTTAGTCAAAAAGGCCTTTGGAAAAACTTTTGGAGTGCTCGTTGTAGCTCTGTAGTATGAGACTATTAATTTCTTAATGCAAGCGCTATACTACATTATCACCAAAAACACCTAGAACTTTGAGGTTTTGTCAATATTTCTATCGAACCTGCAGTTCAGACGTAATTGATTTTCAATACAATGCTTCGGGCGAAAGTAGCAGTAAGGTGAGATAGAAAACCTTCCCTGAGCCAAAAAGAAGAAAAGTTAAAACAATAACTAGCTGAATGGAAAATCCTTTGAATGTTACTCGGCTAATAAACCTAAAAGTAAAATTTGTTAGCCTTTTTATTAACTGATAAAAAACAAGCCAAATACAAGTATGACGAGGAAAGCATTGTTCTGATATAGGACTAAGCTATCACATGGTGCGGAAATTTCGCTTTTTCTAAAATTTATTTCGCTGCGGAGAAAATTTATTTTTTCTACATAAATAGAGGCGAAAAGTTGGAATTCTGCTGGGAATTCTCAATTTTCTCGATTAGAACTCAACTTCTGAGCAATCAAAGTATCGTATTCCGAATTAGAATCAAAAGCTAACTCGGCTAATGTGTATTTCAAAGTTTTTAGTTGAGTTTTAGTTTTGGGTGAAAACAACCTCCGTAATTTTTCAACGTGAAAATTCGAAAAAAATTAAAGTGAGGATAGGATTGAAATACACGCATTAGACTCAGCTTTTGATTCTAATTCCGAATACGATATTTTTATTGCTCAAAAGTTGAGTTTTAGTCGAGAAAATTGAGAATTCGAGTAGAAATCCCACTTTTTGGCCTCTGATTTAGAAAAAATTAATTTTCTCAGTAGCGAAACAAAATTTTAAAAAAAGCTTCACATAATTTTTTTTCTTACAAGTACACTGATTTGAAGGGGGTGGTATAGGAAAATTCAAAGTTTTCTGGATTTGGGCTCTTAGTGTGCCATCTATTATAAAATAACGAAAGCATATTTTGAGCTCGCCGTTGCGTGGATTTGTAGTAGATACTATCTGCTACTTATGGTAAAATCGCCAAAGTTAAGTAATCTGTTATTACTGAGTTAGAAGAGTTTAAAGTGGCAAATTTTCAAGATGACGGAATTCACGTTTTTCGGGGCGTTTCGTAAAATTTCAATATCTCAGCAACGATACAACTTCTTGACTTCCGCTTTTCACCAAAATTCATTAAAATGTTTGGTCTAAAAGAGCCCCCTAGTTTGAAAACATTTTGAGAACATCGATTGAAGACTATTCCTCTGTAATAGGTCGTGGCTTACGTGCAATGGCTTCTAAATGAAAAGCCATCATTTGCTTTTCTTTCCCTTCATTATGAAATCGTGTGTTTGATTAACTCTTTCGACACAAGACGGGACATTTGACCTGAAGGGGCGTAAAACTAATAAGTCTTATCGATCGGTAGCAAGCAATCTCACAAGTGATATGTTTTCCCCAGAACGATATCTGTTAGTAGGAAAAGGATGATGAAACAAAAAAGCTTCTTTCATACTGCAAAAAAGTCGATCTCACTGTAGCAATTCATATGGTCAACATGATTGTTCTCTTATTCTTCATACCTTAATTTAATCACAGCTATGTGGAAACAAACTGAAAGACAGAAAAAATTTAAATACATGGACAACTCAAAATGACCTACAATGATGACAGGTCCAAAATTCGATTTGAAGAGAAACAATCTCTGGCGTTTGGAATAACTCCTGAACAAAAGAGGGATAGAAAAATCGATTTTCGTCATTCAAAGACTTTAGCGCATCGTTTCATACGCTAAAGGTTTTAAAATTATTCGTCAAAAATCAGCTTTCTAAAGAGTCTCTGGAAAACCATTTCGTAACGCGAGAAGTGAATATAGCAATACATCAGTTTTCTTCATGGGTAGATAATCCAAAGTGTTCCCTTCAGCATGGGAACTAAACGACCTTTTAATTTGTTGTACTTTAAAAATGGCATCGCATTTTCTGAGAGTCCGAGGATCGATGTATTTTAGGTTTGTTAATCCCGGAAATGAATGGAAACATAGGCTATCGAGTACTTTAGAATAAGATGTTGTGCATGAAAAATCGATAAAAAATGGTGCCAATACTACAATTTCTGAATATGTTGCAATTTACAGAAAAGACAGGAAATGTTTCTATGAAAACTCGATTTTATAGTAAGAAAAAGGTTCGAAGGTCTGAAAGATATAACAGAAATGTGCAGAAACGACAGTTCGAACTTTATCTTTACTTTGTAAAAGAATTTAAGCTTTTGAAACGATACTCAGAGATGCAGACTCTATATCCCGATTGGGATATAAATAGCTTGTCCAGCATACTTCGTTAGCAGCAAAATGGTGACGCCTGCGGGAATTTTTAATTACACGAGTAGAAAGAGCATAGAAAGCTACATCTGATTCTATTTTCCTGGTCCTAAAGTCTGGTTTCCCGCCAGCCACTTTTTTCACAGCATAAGGTTTTCTCAGAGGATAATTTCTTCTGTAGTTCGCTGAAATATTGTTATCTTCAGTTTTTGATGATGACGAAGATTTATCTTGAATTCGTTTTATTATTTTCTATAAATGCCTTTTAAGTTTCAGCCATAAATGTAATAAAATTGCAACAATACTTACACAAACATATGTAAGAAATAAACCAGCCAATGACTGAACATCCATTCTCTTAGTGCTGCTTTCGTCACTGCTGCTACTCCCACAACTCAGTGTATTAAAATATTTTGCACTTATCCTTTCTAACTCACCAGATTCTGTCAATTGTAATATTTGAACATCTAAACTTTGTCTATACTTCCAAAGTTTGGGCAAGTCAATTGCAATCGATGTTGCGTAAAATAGTTCACCAATAAGTGTTAATTTACAGTACAAGTTATTAATTGCATATATAGCTGATGCTCCGCTGGCTATAGCCACATCAATTGAGTCATCTAATAATTTTATAAATATATCTTGAGTTGTTGACAAATGATAATAATTTGTACTCCCTTGTGATATTGTTTTCAGAAAATATTCTTCAGCTGATGTGCCTACAACAATGCCAATGCGACTGTGGGGTACTTTGTTATTTTTGATATCATCTATTCCTGTTACTGTTGATTTTGAAGCTTTCAGTGTTAAAAATGATGTTAGTTGTGCCGTGTATGTTGCTATTAATATTAAAGAAAGCATCCATAAACCGATTGTTAATAAACGACCAGCTGCTGTTGCTGGACCAAAATCAGCCCCAAAACCTAGTAAATTCGATATTGAGTACCACATACTCAGTGTTGATCCACTTGGTACTGATCGGCTTCTCAGATCATTATTTTTATGCCGTTCAAATATCCAAACTAATATTCCACCATATACCATGCAACCTAAT